TCTGTGCCTGAAGGATCCAACTGAGTGAAGGGGCACTTTTCTTGGCTGAGTTCACATTATCATTGCCTTTGTTTCCAAACTGCAGTTAATCTCCCCATTTCTTTCTTCTTTTGTTATCTAATGGAACTCTGTGACTGAGGGATTCAGTTTGTCTCCAAGATCTGTCACAAAAGAAAGTCAGCTGTGCGGTGCCTGGGCGCTGCCAACCATGGGGTCTCCAGCCTCTCTTCATATTATTATATACTGTGAGGATGAGTCATGCCTGAAAAATGTTGGGATTTTCAATTGTAGTTGTCCTCCACTGAAAAATCCAGCTTAAGAGTCGGCTCTCACGCTCTAGTTCAGCAAAGGGTAAACATCCTATTAATGTGCCAATGTCTTGTTTCTGTTGTCACAGACAGGCAGCACAACTTCCCCCAGACAGGGGGCTAGGGCTGAGAGATGCCAGAAGTGGCCTGGGGGGACAGCAAAGGGTCCAGGTAAGATGGGGAAGAAAATCCTTCTATCGAGTAACAGGGGCGTGTAGGCGAGAGCCCCTGCTCCACCCCTCCTTCATCTCCAGCTCAACTCTTACATTCTGGGGGAGCTGAGGGATCAGAAAGGATCCTGGGCCACCAACAGTCCCTTCATTTGGGCTTAGAAACTCGTCATGGGCTACAGAGGCTGAGCTGGCGTGAGACTCACAGGTGGGGGCAATTAGTCCCAAGCCTTTGTGGACTTTGCCACGGTGATGCCCCAACATCGGAACCACTGATGGCAGTTGTGTGATGTGGAAAGTGGAGAACTCCATGGAACTCCGCGACGCTGGGCGCTTGTTGCTGGGGGCTACTGGAGGGTGAGACTTGCTCAGAGCCAAGGCTAGAAGCAGAGTGACTAAAACCCTGTGGCACACGTCTGCATTCCTAGGATGGGCCAGCCCTCTTACAGATGGTCTGGATGGGGCTCCCAGTCACCAGAGGGAATGGGGGCCAATGTGTGGAGGGGATCAGGGTGACTGTAGGAAGTAGTCTTCAGGTGGCATGGAAGTCACTCCCATTGGCACCTGTGAGGCCCCATTTCGGTGTCTGCTGTAGGGGCACTGCTTTATAGTCATTTGTTTTCACAGAAAGATATTTTCTCTTAGTCCTCTGTCTCAAGCAGTTACAAGCCTGTGATACCTAGTAATGGAATGCTCTCCATGAATGCAAACAAGAGTTCCGATCCTGAGAAAGGGGTAGGTCCTGGGTTACACCCCCCAGTGCCAAATATTCCTTTAATGATTGTTATTACAGTAACATTAAACAGATGCAGACATTTTTAACATGTGGGCTGGTCTCCTGACTTTTCATTTGATTTTGAAAGGAATGATTTAGTGCTGAGAAAAGCCCTTTTCAGAGGAAATCTTTGTGCGAGTTTCATTAATTCCCTTGCTCTATGGCCACAAGGAAGATGGGACCACCAGGACGGCCAGCCCACCCTACGTGACGGATGTGTTCCAGCCCCAAAGCACATTTGTCACAGGGTTGTCAGAACTCTGCTGCACTAGAGTTAAGTGGGCTCTGCATTAAGAGGCTTTATTTAAAAAAAAATTTTTTTTTTTAAATTTCAGAGAGAGAGAGAGAGAGAGAGAGAGACAGCATGAGCAGGGGAGGGTCAGAGAGAGAGGGTGTCACAGAATCTGAAACAGGTTCCATGGTTTTAAGCCGTCAGCACAGAGCCCGATGAGGAGCTCGAACCCACGAACCATGAGATCATGACCTGAGCTGAAGTCGGACGCTTAACTGACTGGCTTAGGCGCCTCTAAGAGGCTTTAAAAGACCACAACATCTTCATCCCTGCCACCCCAACCCGTCCCGTGCTGGAAACAGGCCTAAACTAAAGAGTATAAACCAGAAGTAGGAGGTGCCTGGGTGGTTCAGCTGGATAAACGTCTGACTTCAGCTCAAGTCATGATCTCGCGTTTCATGAGTTCGAGCCCCAAGTCGGGCTCTGTGCTGACAGCTCGGAGCCTGAAGCCTGCTTCAGATTCCTTGTCTCCCTCTCTCTCTGCTCCTCTCCACTCCCTCTCTGTTTCTGTCTCATAAATAAATAAACATTAAACCAGAACCAGGAACCATACCAATTCCAGAATAAGAATTCTCCCTAAGCTGGTGATTCTTAAACTTGGGTGTACAGAAGAATCACTTGGTAATTGGTTTAACCTGTCCAGTTCTGGGATCCTGTCTCAGAGGTTCTGGTTCTGAGGAACTCTGGACACTGTTTAGTGTCCATACCTGTCCATACAACCTGGTTGTATGTTGGTTCTTTAAACAAATAGATGCTCAGTTTCTACTTCATTAAATTAGAATATCTGAGGGTTCAGGCCCAGTGTTGGGAGCTTTTACAAGCTCCATGGGTCATTTTAATATGAAGCCAGAGTTATCGGGTGCTGGTGTAAGCTGTGAAGGCTTGGGTGAAGCCGAGGCTGAGGGCCCCTTAGAAGCCCTCATTGGGTGAGGCAGCTTGTGTAACATGCTTATCTTCAGACAGACAGGTGTTCTGCACCAACACATCCAACTAACTATCCTAGAAATACATGGCCTACTGTGGATATGAACTAGAAAGTTTGTGAAATCCCTGGAATCATTTGTTAAAATTTGTGTGGATGTGCCTGGGTCCATTTTTCTAGGGAGAGGGGTCCTCAGCTTTCACGAGTCACTATTTTCTCCCCCCGGCCCTTGTTTTATTCATTTGTTCATTCACACCCTCATGTCCTTCTCTCATTCTGCTCCCTCACACAGGAAGCCATTCTTATGGTTCAAGTGTGTGACAACCTATGTGTGGCTGTTTTTGTTTTGTGTGTATCTTTTTGTAATTCACATGCATTGTATGTTCTTGCTATCCTTGTTGCTGTGTATATATCAGACCATTGCTTTTGAGCCCATGGACAGCCTCCCCAAGATGTTCTCTCTCTGCTTCCTGGGATGAACACCCAAACTAAGCTGCCGTGAACATCCTCAAATATGCCCCCTTCTGAGCCCACATGAGAACTTCTTGGGAGACACACCTGGAAGCGAAACCACTGGGCCACAGGGGCCACATGTATTTTTTTGGACTGAGGGGTGCTGCATGGCACTCTGGGACGGCTGCTTCTGGCTACACTCCCTCCACCATTGCTGGGTTCCTGAAGTGGTCTGAGATCCCCTCCCCCCTACAACATGCCACCAAAGTGGAGAAGCCACTGGTGAAGGGTCCAAGCTGGGCCCTCTGTGCTGCCTGCCTTTCCTTCTCTTTCTCCAGCTCTGCCTTTTCTCCTGTCCCCTGTGATGGCTGTGTGAAACCTTGGCCACCACCCTCATGCTCTGACTGCACCTTAGCCTCCACAGAAATACAGGCCATCTTTCATTTTTTCTCTTCCTTTCTAAATGCATCAGTGTCAGGCCTGTCTTCCCTCATTTTTCTCACCAGGCTCACCTCACCCGGAGCTTTGAGGTCTCCCTCCTCAGACCGTCTCCCTGAAGCCTTGCTGTATCAGTCCTTCCCCTGGTCTGCCATCTGTCTGTCTGTCTGTCTGTCTGTCTTTTTCTTCACGGGCTTGCTTCCACGGCGTACGAGTTTGGCCAATTCTCTCCCACTCTGAGACAAGCTTCCCTTCTCCTCAGGCTCCCCTCTTTATCCCCCTTTGGATGTTTGTCACCTATCACAATCTCTTTGAACCCGTGTTCGCTTGTGCTCTATTTGCTCACTCCCAGCCCTGCAACATGTGGTCCTCAGTCACCTGCTCGCTCGGTGTACTCAGTCCAGCCCCCCCCCCCCCCACCTCTCTCTCCGTTGTGGCTGACACCACTCACAACACGCTTTATGGAGCTGCCTCCCCTGTTGGCTTTCAGGACAATATGTTCTCCCAGCTCTCCCTCCTCTCTTCTCTCTCTGCTTCTTCACAGCCTCCTCTCCCTCCCTGCCCTTTAGAGATTTCCTGCAGCTTCTGCCCTCTAGGCCCTGTGTCTCCACATGTTTCCCTGAGCTTGGCCACTTCTTAGGCTTCCTTGAAGCACTTATAAGCATATAACTCTCAAATGTGGATCTCATTTTATCTTATATTTATTTATTTATTTTTTAATGTTTATTTATTTTTGAGAGCGAGCGAGTGAACAGGGGAGGGCAGAGAGAGAGAGGGAGACACAGAATCTGAGGCAGGCATCAGGCTCCAAGCTGTCAGCACAGAGCCGGATGTGGGGCTCGAGCCCACCAACCACGAGATCATGACCTGAGCCAGAGTCAGATGCTTAAAACAACTGAGCCAACCAGGTGCCCCTGGATCTCATTTTAATTCAAAGAATCATTTTTGAAAATTTACTGTGTGCTAAGATCCAGAGTCATGTGTGATTTAATGTAAGAGTTCACCATCTAGAACTCTATCTTCTGAACTCTAGACCATGTACCTGGCAGTCTTTCTGTTTGTCTTGCTACAATTTGAGAATATGCATCTAATTCACAGATTAGATGAAACAAGTTATACACCACTAAGTGCTTTTTTTAAAGGGTCCAGAGGCCAGCTTGACAATATGTCAGCAGATGCTGCTGCCTGCTCTGCTTCTGGCTAGAGAACACACCAGAAGCCTCTGGTGTGCGTGTGCGCTACCTTTGACTATCAAGTGCAGGACTTCCCCCTAGACCAGCTGGAGGGTCCAGAGTTCAAAGACTATTTTGATTTACAGACTTTTTCTCCTTGTCTTTGGAATAGTATGATATCTACAGAATCACAGGGAGATGAGAATTAATGTAAGATGTGAGAACTATATACAAAATTAGTGCTGTTGGGACCCTGGCCTTAACTTACCCCAACAGTACAGGGCTGGTGAGGCTCATGTGTAGGAAAGTCATGGACATAACTCAACGTGAAACTGAATACACGTCATGCCTTTCTTCCAGAAGTTAAGTCGGGCAGATTAGGGAAGACAGAGTAGCAAGTTTCTTTGAGGCTGGCCTGGCTAAGCCCAGCTAAGCCTCGGCGAATGAGCAGCTCCCTGAGCCAGCCTTACCTCTGCTTTAAAATCTGTTTGTTGTCTTCGATGGTAACACTGTCAGCATGGTCCCTCTTGAAGATTTCAAATGCCTCTTGTCGTCCTATTGACATTTCCTCTCTCATCCCTGTTTGGAGACACAGGAAAATGGCCTCAGTCACAGCATCAGGATCCCATTAATTTCACTGTCACTTTAGTTAGACCACAAAGCCAGCCCTGGCTCCAGAAGGATCATGGCGGAGAGGCTCCTGACAAGACAGGTGGCCCCAGCTCTTCCAGCTGGCCCCAGACCCTCTGAGGAGCCCTTCCAGGGACACCCTGCACCCTGCCGGGCTGTGCCTGCTCATGCATGTGACTTGTAGGGGGTGGAGTTTGGAATGTCAGGCCAGAGGAAATGAAAACCAGAGCGCCAAGCCCTGGATTGCCAAGAACATCTGCGAATGCACTTTCTGCCATCATTCAGTGCCACATTTCTCCCAGTTTTCCTGCTATGCCCCGCTTTGGTTTTCTGTTAAATTTCACGCTGAATTTCTAGGCATTTAGTTAAAAGAAGTACAATCCAGACCAAAAGATACAGAATCTAGGAAATTCTGCTCTTGGTGTCCATATAAAGATGCATCCTTGAGGTCCCTGGCAAGGGGCCTCTGTTCTTACTCTGAGGTTAGGCTCCCCATCACAAGATCCGGGAACAGACTGTGATGGAGGCTCCTAGTCCATGTCTAACTCCTACATCCTGTGTCACCATCCCCACTACGGGCTAACCCTTTACTCTTAGGTTCTGCTCAGGGACCAGATTCTGAAACCCAGAGTGAGAATGGCCAGGGACCTCAGAGTGAGCAGCTAGCATTCCTGCACTGAAGCCTTCTTCCTCCCAGCCTCCTAGAGCGAGAGGCAGTGCAGGTGTGCCTGGGACTCCCTGGTGACAGCTGAGTCCACAACTGGATTTGGGATGAATCTTTGGAGTGGTTTTTTTTTTTATGACTCTTTTAAAAGCATTGGTTCCTCTTTCCCATGTTTTCATCCAATTCATTCTACATACCTTTGAAAGCCTGGCAGGTTGTTACCAACTCCATGAAGCTTTCCCTGAGGCCCACCAGGCAGCAAGAATCCTCTTTCCACTATCTACCTATCAATGCAGCTATGACACACACAGCCTAGTAGATGCTGTCATTTTACATGACAACCCATTCTGGGGACATGCACGTTTCTAGGAGGTACAGATTACATTTTTGTGAATCTCCAGTGCCTTGTTCGATGTCTGGCATTTAGAAGGTACTCCTGGTATGTCTTTTAAATGAACCAGGTCAGGAATGAGCCAGGAGTGACAATGAGACTTGTTCTAACTGCCACATGAACGTGCTCCAGGGTGAGAGGGGTTCGCGATGAGGCTCCTGGTTCCAGAGAGGCATTCATGTGGGCCACATACTTCTCCTCCCTCTTGCCTGGAAAAAGCCCACTGAGTCTCATCACCCAGCCTCAGGGTGAGGAATGGGACCAGCCCATCTGACACCAATTTAATGATTACTGTTGATAAAAATAGCACCGTGAAGAATGTCTGAACGGTGAGCCACACAAGACATCCCGCCCTTTTCCAATCAGAAGCAAATGGGCACGTCTCAGTTTTGTCTCCACATCTGCCCCGCACACTCCAGAATCAAGTGGGCCTGGGAACGGGTTTGTGTGAGACTCAGAGAGATGAGCTCCTGCTGCATGAGCAACATTACCCAGGGGGCACTTTTAATCCAGCAGGTCCCGTCAGGAGCCAAGGGACTCACGCCATACCTCTCCCTGGCCCCTGGTCCGTGCCCAGTTCTGACAGTGGGTGCTTTTCACTGCAAATTAAATGGCAATGCAGAGGAGAGGGAGGGAGTCTCTCTGGAATGGGGTTGGGGAGGAGAAGAGCTCCACGGAGACCACATGGGAACCTGGCTGTGGGATCCCCCAAATTGCCTCCCACAGAGGGGGTGATGTGAAGGCACCCACCAACCAGCCATAGCAGGGGGAAGGGTGGGTGGAGGGTTGTTCAAAAAGCTGCAGTGAAGGAGATACATTCATGGCCTTTTCTCTTCCTGGCTCTGCCTTCTTTCAGAGCTGTCAGTCCAACTTGACAGCTGGGTGTGTTGGCCATGCTGAGGTTTTGCAGTGCCCATGACACTTTTACAGCAGTAGGTCCCAGAAGAACTTACAACCAACTGAATATCCCACTGCATCCTCCCAGAGGTATGGAGGGGACTGGGCGGTGGGAGCAGAAAGGACACAGGGCTCGAGAGGAGATAAGCCCAGGTAGGCTGCTTGCCATGGCTTTGCAGAGCATCTCAAAAGTCTTGCTAAAAAAATCTGAGGTCAGTGTCATCTCACAGTATATAAGAGTTACCAGTTTTCAAAGACTTAAAATTCAGGTGTGGTACACATTATGAGAAAGTTACCCTGGAAGAACCAGGAAACAGAGAGGAGGGTCAGTTCCGTCAGGGAAACTCAGAAGGATTCCGAGGGACAGGCAGCACCTTCAAGGTGGGAAAGAGGGGGCAGAAGACCTCAGGTGGAGGGGGACAGAGGAGAAGTGTGCATTAAAAGGGCAACTTCATTGATATGCATGGTTCTGCCACCCAAGAGGAATGAATGACCTTTGGGGAGAATAAAATAAGTTTCTTACATACTTTATGCTAACCACTGTATCAAGCACTTCCTTCCATATTATTTCAGTTAACCTTTTCCAGGATCCCTGGTCAAATATCATTTTACAGATAAGGAAACCGAGGCTCGGTTAAAGAAATGGTTGTAAAGGGGTAAGGACGGTCCAGCTTTTAGAGGGAGTCAGTTCTGTTCTTAGATCAGTTTTTCCAGGGGAAGTCTGTCTGAAGGAGGAGGCAGGGGCAGGGCCTCAACATGAGCTGGCAGGAGTAGATCTGCTCATGAGATTATGCTCTCATTAGTGTTTTCTCTTGTCCCAAACTTGGAATTTTCTTTATGGTATCACAGAAAACGCGGAACCATGAATTTTGTGTTACTATTTACATAGTTTATATGTTATTTTATTTTATTTTAAATATTTTTATTTATTTCTAGGAGAGAGAGAGAGAGAGAGACTGTGTGAGCAGGGGAGGGTCAGAGAGAGAGGGAGTCACAGACTGAAAGAGGCTGCAGGCTCCGAGCTGGCAGTCAGCACAGAGCCCGACGCGGGGCTCGAACCCACGAACCGCGAGATCGTGACCTAAGCGAAAGTCGGATGCTTAACCGACTAAGCCACCCAGGCGCCCCAGTTTATATGTTATTTTAAAATATATTTTATTTTATTTTATTTTGAGAGGGGGGAGGGGCAGAGAGAGAGGGAGACAGAATCCCAAGCAGGCTCTGTGCTGTCAGTGCAGAACCCAATGCGGGGCTCGAACCTACGGAACATGAGATCATGATCTGAGCAAAATTGAAGAGTTGGATGTTTAACTGACTGAGCCACCAAGGTGTCCCTACTTCATATGTTCTATGATTATTTCTAGACTTTGTGTGCTCCATGGGGTGGGAGGTTTTAGTCAGTTTTGTTTGCTGCAGTATCCTTAGCACTTGGGTGGTACCTGGCACATAGGCAGAACTCCAGTTCTTTTTGAATGAATGAATGAATGAATGAATGAATGAATGAATGATTGTTTTAGATGTTTAATGCTCTTCCTTTTGGTATAGCATATTGTGATATGATGGGGTAAGTGCATCCATTGCTCTTCCTCCCTCCACCACCATTCTCCTGGGTGGGTGTGTCCCTGTACGGTGTGATTTTAGAAATTAACACCATCTTCTCCCACTACATGTCACTATGCTTCACAGCTCACCCTTAGAGATTCCAATTCCAAGGAACTTTTATAAAAATGCAAACACTCTTGAAGGCATCCCTATTGTAGGGATAGCAAAGAAAAACTCCATGATTTGTTCACAACTAGCTAACAGGTCCTGCAAAGATGAGACATAAGACGGTGTCTCAGCTGGTGCCAAAATGGGGGAAATCTGAGCTTGAAAGGGAAGGCTTGATGGCAGAAGATAAATTGTGCCTTCCCCCCAGCTTTGTTTAGTCTGTCAGATCCAGCTGCTTATTGAAGCTTTGGACCTTAGGAGTTTCCACTTGCCGTGACTACGTCTAGCTCTTAGTTGTTTCTTTTAGTGAATCTCAATCATAGGTCCCTGTGTTCAATCTCAGAAAATAGGGATGACTCAGAGAAGCCTGCTGGCTTGCTGAGTCACAGGACTGCTTCAAACCTGGAGGAGAGCAAATAAAATATTATGGGACAGTATAAAATTTCAAAGAAAACAAAGCAAAAACCAACAAACAAACAGACAAAAAAAAAAAAAAAAAAACACCCTAAGGAAAAGGAGTTTCTTAGTCCCCAAAACACGACATTACAATTCCAGGGTGTGAGCAGGATGGGAGACACTTCCAAATCCTAAAGGTACAAACTCTTGTGGATTTTGATACTTATTATGAACAGCACTTAGGTAGAAATGGCAGACAATAAGGCACTCTCGAAATTAGCCTTTGAGTGGGGCTTCTGAAAATGGTAGGCATACAAAATTCTTAGGTACTGGTCCCTCGCTCATTTCTTGATGCTCTCTTTTTTACCATCCTGAAATCTGGCTCCTTATTTTGCTAAAGAATACACATTCGTACTTTTGGAAGCCCTCCCCACCCCCAACACAGGGTCCCATGGAAACCAAATGGAAAGGAAAAACATCGGAAGTGGAGAGTTTATGCTACTGCCTTTGAGCCTGCTGTCTGATTTCCTTTAGTCTGGAGCACATGGGCCAGAGCTCATTTTCCCGGCTGCCCCAAACAACCTACTGCTGCTTAAGCTATTGCTTAAAAATGGACAAAAGTAAAATGATGGAGAATTGTGTTATTCATGCTGAAAAATGATTTCCTGGTCAGAGCCAAAAATATATTTTCCTTGGGAAAGACACCTATTCCTGTGGTGCCTCAGTTCCCTCTAACTGAAGAAGGAAGGGAAGAAAAGAAGAACCACCAGGGAATGAGGAAGAGTGAGCAATGGGATGAATTTTGAGCGGAAGGGGGATTGGGTCACTGTGTTTGGGACTGAAAGCAAGAGAAGGCTCAGAGCTGGGTGGAGGACATTCAAGGCTGAGACA